GGGCGTGGCGACCCGCCGGCCACCGGGAGGACACGCCGAGTCCCCAGGGGTCCTGGCCCGCAGCCAGCAGGGTGCACCCTGATTCTCGCCCGCAGCCTGCATGTTTGCGGTGGGCTGCAGCATGGGCCCCTTCCTGCACTTCTGGTACCTGTGGTTGGACCGCCTCCTCCCTGCCTCGGGCCTCCGAAGCCTTCCGAGCGTGATCAAGAAGGTTCTGGTGGATCAGATGGTGGCCTCGCCCATCCTGGGCGTCTGGTACTTCCTGGGTAGGAAGCGGTGGGGACTGTGGCCTTCAGAGCTCGCGATGGGTAGACACTGGAGATTCTCATCTGCGATTGTAGGCTGGGTGGCGTTGACAATTAGAGGGACCTGTTACACAGGGATGGTCTCACTTTGTAGCTCTGGCTGGCCTCAGACTCGACAACCCCGCCTCGGCTTCTCGAGGCTAAGTTCACAACCATATTGCATTTTTATATATAGACTCGGGGAAGCAAGAGGGCTGGGGAGAGGCAGAGTGGCAAGGGTGCAAAGCTGCAGTCAGTTGAGCCTGCAGGAAAATGAACCCTGAGGGTGCGGTGAGGACTGCATTGATGGATGAGATGATGATCCCTGGTGTCCTGGGATGACCTGCTCAAGTAACTCCGGTCATTGCCCCTGACCCTCCCTGGTGCTCCTCCTGGGTCACTTTACTGACCCATACAGCCCACTCCCCACACACAGCCCTGCCAATTTTATTGCCTCGCAACCACCTCAGCCTTTATGTTCTTCTTCCCAGGCCTTGGCAGCCTGGAAGGCCAGACGCTGGAGGAGAGCTGCCAGGAGCTGCGGGCCAAATTCTGGGACTTCTACAAGGTGGGCGTGACCAGGCTGGCCTTCTAAACGTGGCTCCACCCCTACTCAACCTCCCAGACCCCCCTTCAACACTTTGGCCCCACCCACCCTCCTAGCCCTGCCCCCTCATAACCACCTGCCCTCTTAAGGTGGCCCTGCCTGCCTTCCTGCAGGCTGACTGGTGCGTTTGGCCAGCCGCTCAGCTGGTGAACTTCCTCTTCATCCCTTCCCATTTCCGAGTCACTTATATCAACGGGCTGACACTGGGCTGGGACACGTATCTGTCCTACCTGAAGTACTGGGTGAGCTCAACCCCTGGGAGAGAGGGGCTCCATGGTGCGGGCTGGCCCTGTGTCTGGTGTGACCTGTCCTCTGCTGTACACAGGCCCCTGAACCCCTTCCAACTCCGGGCTGCGTGGACTGAACTTGAATGCTGCGGAGGAGTAGGCCAATGGACACACTCCCATAGGAGGTTCTGGAACAGGTCAGAGCTCTGAGCCACATCCAAAACCCAGGCTGACTAAGTCTGGACCAGCTATCCCTTCGGAGTCTGCCATGGAGACAGTTTGCCCATGTGAAACAGCCCCAGCACCAGCTGTCGCCAGGTTTTTCAGTCGGACCAAGAAGTCCTCTGTCAATCTGCAGTTTCAACTCTGGGCCAAACAGTACCCGAGGTCCCCTGGATCCCAGGTGACAGAGGCAAGGACATGCCCCGTGGCCTTTGAATGGGGTCTGGTTTGGCTTCAAAAAACTTCATTCGAAGTTGGGCAGCCATGTGGAAATTTCATTAAATTTTCTTTAATCACAAGGCTGGCTGACGGTGTAGGGGCGGGGCCAGCAGAGACGCAGCAAGGTCCATTCGCTTTATTGAACTGTGTAGTGTTCATAACTTCTAGGAAGTGGGGGGTCACGTTTGACACTCATGACGTCAAAACAGGTTTGGGGATATCCCAAAGTAGTGAAAGTGACTATATCCCCCATCCCATGGGGTAGAAGGTCCAGGCAAGCAAGATGCCAGCCTGTATCAACCCAGTGGCCCACATGACAATCCACCAGCCTTGGCCCTGGCAGGACTTGCCACCTCCCATCAGCCTGCCAGCCTGCTTCCAAGTGATATCTGGTCCCCTCTTTACAACGACAGCTGGATGGGGTGGTTTTCAAAACTAAAAGGGAGAGGTCTTAAGCAGTGAGCACAACACACCACAGCTGAGCAGGGGTAGGGTTATGTACAGGGTGGGATGGGGTGTGTCCAGGGAAGTCCTCAATAAATAAATAAATAAATAAATAAATAAATAGCTACAATAATAAATAGGGTGATGGGATGGGGGCTTGCCCCTGGTGGGGGTGTGGCTCAGCAGGCACAATCCTGGTGAGGAGGTGCCTGTTGGTCGGTGAGCTGTGGGCCCTGCTTGGCGCCTGTGACCGCAGGGTCAGCGGTATCCAGCGACTCCGACATCTTCTCACAGATCACATCCACCAGGCGTTCAAAGGTCTGCTTGACATTAATGTTGTCCTTGGCGCTGGCCTCAAAAAACTCAAACCCTGTGTTGGGGAATGGAGGGATCCCAGGGAGGCCATATGAGGGTGAGTCTCCCATGAACACCCAACCAGGCCCCATACAGTCCCAGTCCAGAAGCCTCCACACTCAGACCTGTCTTGGCTTCAACATCCATGGCCCTATCTCTTGGTATCTCAGAACACAGTGAGACACATTTCCTCTAGGGGGCAGTCACACTCCACGGTCACAACTGCATAGGTTTGGCTGTCCCTTGGTCTGTACCTTGAGAACTTTGTACCACCCTTCCCACCCCAGCAAGTTTTGCCTGCTCCAGGAAGCATGGCTGGGCTCCCAGCATGCACTCCTCTACGCAGGTTTCTCTTTCCAGTCTGAAAACTTAGATTGTTGTCAGGCCCAGCAGCTTCTGGAAGCCAGTCCATGACTGAGCTAGCAAACTCTGTGACCAAGACCCACTGCTGAAGCTTCCTGGAGAGTGTCTGGTCTTTACAAGTATGAACCCTCTGCATTCACGCTCGTGCCCTGATGTGTGGGGTTTCTGGGTATTGAAGGTCATGGCCCCTGGTCCCGTCTGAGGAGGGCTGCAGTCCTGCGGACACTCACCCAGGTGGTCAGCAAGCTGCCGGCCACGCTCCGACGACACCACTCGCTCGTCCTCCATGTCACACTTGTTCCCCACCAGCAGCACCTGGGCATTGTCCCACGAGTAAGTTTTAATCTGAGTCGACCTGCAGGAGGCAGCCAGAGGCTGAGGAGGAAGTTGGAGGATCCAGCCCTGACACTAAGTCCCCTGCCCCTTAGTAACTGATGTGCTTTCCTCATGAGCTCAGGTTGTCCTGGACCTCTCTACCCTGCCTCAGCTTCCCCAATGCTGGGATGACATCTGATGCTCTATCTACTATGCTAAATGCAGAGACGTGACAGAGCTGGTTTATGATGCTGTGGGTGGAATCTAGGTTCTCACACATGCTAGGCAACTGCTCAGTCAGGGACAAGTGCCTCTGCTTCCCAAGTAGCTGGGACTACAGACCTGACCTCCCATTTCCTGGGAGGACAGATCATTTAAATGCAACAGATCAGTGGGAGCCTTTGTCTAGCTTATTGGTCAAGCTGTGTTCCTTCCACAACCCCAAGCCTTAGAAACAGCCCATGTAGTTTGTCCCAACCAACTCTGTTCTTTGTCTTCTGGACATGCTGGGGACAGAACTCGAGGCTACCCAAGCCAGGCAGGTAGCTGAGCCACTGCTCCAGCTGCCTCCAGTCCCACCGTTCTGAGTGGGTGTGAGGCTCACCAGTCCTGCACAGCGTTGAAGGACTCCTCGTTGGTGATGTCATACATTAAGATGAAGCCCATGGCACCCCGGTAATAGGCGGTGGTGATGGTGCGGTAGCGCTCTTGCCCTGCTGTGTCCTGGGGAAAGAAGAGATGGTGGTCAGGAGAGACTGCACAGCAGCCGTTCTGAAGGGAAGTGTGTTTGGAGGTTGGTCAGGCAGCCCCTTTGAGGTCCAGAGACAGTGGATCAGGAAAAGGGGGCTGGGTGGCCTTTGTGCCCAGATGGGTCACAGCAAAATCACTCATTCATTTAACAAATACAAACTGGGTACTGCCCAAATGTCCTGTGCCACAGCCTGTGCCAGAAGTGGGGAGTCACAGGACTGTTAAGAAAACAAGAATCTAAAAAGGAAAAAAAAAAGAAAGGAAGGATGAAGGAAGAAAAGAACAAATTGCTGGGTGGTGGCGGCGCAGGCCTTTAATCCCAACAGAGGCAGGTGGATCCCTGAGTACGAGGTCAAAGTTCCAGGACAGCCAGGGCTACACAGAAAAACCCTGTCTCAACTCCCTACCCCCCCCCCGCCTTCCCCCCCCCCAAAAAAAGAGAAAGAGAATAAGCAATTCCATGCCCTTGTGGAGAGCACAATGTGAGGTTTGAAAAAGACAATGACTGCAAGAGTGACCCAAGCCAGATGCTGCCCAGGTCTGCTGTGGTGGGATATGAGGTAAGTTCTATCAAAACTTTAATGGGTCTCCAGTGTATGTTTTTAATCCCCGAACTCGGGAGGCAGAGGCAGGCATGTCTCGGCAGGCATGTCTCTGTGAGTTCGAGACCAGCCTGGTCTACAGAATGAGTTCCAAGACTACATAAAAAAAAAAGTCAAAAAATGTCTCCTTGATGGGAAGCCTGTCATCATCCCCACACCAGGGAGGTGGAAGCAGGAGGATCAGGAGCTCAGGGTCATCCTGATCCTGGGCAGCTGAGCTTACCCAGCTGCCTCCTCACACTGGACCACAGTGCAGGACTTGAGAACACCTCATGTTTGAGCCCCACCCGCTTACACGGCAGGCACAGGAAGGCTTCTCCCCTCAGGCCCCACACACCCAGATCTGCAGTTTGATCCTCTTGTCATTGCGGTAGATGGTTTTGACCTTGAAGTCTATGCCAACCGTGCTGACGAAGGCCGGTGTGAAGGAGTCATCAGCATAGCGGAAGAGGAAGGAGGTTTTGCCCACGCTGCTGTTCCCAATGATCAGGATCTTGAACATATAGTCGAAGTTCTGATCGGAGGACTCCTTCTGCCCATAGCGCGAATCTGTGGCTGACGCCATCTGCGAGGGCGGGGCGGGGCGGGGCGCAGAGGGCCTGAGAGGTGCATCAGGACACCTGCACAGGATGGGCGCTGCACACAGGCGGTGCCCGGGGAAAACCCTCTTTCCACCAGGACCCCCTCCCCAATGTCACATGGGCCCTCCAGCTGTGACCTTGACAAGCCCAAGGTTTCAAGGAGGCTGTGAAGGGAACACCCCTGCAGGTCCCTGGCACCCTGAGGGGGAGAGTGAGGCGGGCCCCACCTTCCCATCGGTTTTTCATTACCCTAAGAGGAAGGAGGTTTTGCCCACGCTGCTGTTCCCCTCAGGAACATGGGAGCATAGAGTACACGCGGATCCCCAGTGCTCCCTCATCCTTATTCCTCTCCTGGAAGAATTGGGGCCCTGAGATAGCAGCATCACGTGACAGACCGGTGAACACAGGCTCACATGCACAAAATCCCTGGCGCATGCACACACAATGAAGCATCCAAGGCAGGCTGACCCAAACTCCTGCCGTGTGCAAAAAGAGTGGGGCTAGCGAGAGAAACAAGCAAACACGCGTGATGTTTGCAAGCCTATGCATGTGCATAGCTCCTTGCATCCATGCACAACCGCACACGCAGAGTCCCCAACACCACTGGCCATTGGTGAGGACACACCGCGCGCGAGCCTGGCTCCACACGCGTGTGAACGCATACTTGAACTCGGACCCACGCACGCCGCGCACGCGCACCAGGCACGCACAAGGTTCCGCGACCGTGCACGGTGCACGTCCTGAGTTCACGCGAGCCTACCCATGCCCAGCGGGCGCGCACACGCGTGTTCAGCCCACGAGCACGAGCACGCACTAGCCTCCCGCAAGGCCTGGCCTTCCCTTCCCCCTCTGTCGCAGAGCCGGGCCCCAGTGCCGGGGAAAGGATTAAGGTTACAGGGGCGCTGAAGGGGGCGCCGAATGCGAAACCCACAGCCACCACGCCCGAGTCGCGCGCTCCTCTTCTTCCCCAGCTGTCCATCAAGCGCGGGCTCGCTCACCTTGACCGCTCCGAGCTGAGGCGACGCCGACGGCGGAGACCCTGGCGACTGCGCTAGTGACCGGGCCCCAGGGGCGGCTGCGGGCTGCAGGTGGCGGCGGAGGCTCGGGCCCCTGCAGTCCTCGCTGACGTCCTGCAAAGCCAGGGGCGGGACTTCTATGCAAACGAGCCCGTGACGTCAGTGGGAGGGGCCGAGCGGGCAGCCAAGGGGTCCCACTGGCCAGCGCAGGCTCTGGGGGCAGGGCCGGTGAGCCTCTGAGGGCGGAGCTCCGAGGAAGCAGGAAGGCCTCATTGGTGGGTGATCTGGAGCGACGGGTCGGCTACCCAATCAGCACTCTCTTACGTCTTAGCGGCCCAATGATGACTGCTAGGTGTTTGAAGGGCGGAGAGGCTGAGGCCGAGACCCAGCCCCAGTCGCGAAAGTGGTTTGAAGTCCCCAGCGCCTGCTTCAGAAACGTGCTGGACTCCTTCCAGTCGGCACCAAGGAGCTTAGTTTTGTTTTGAGAAAATGTCTCATGTAGCAGTCTGGCCTCCTCGAAATTGCCAGGTATCAGAGGCTGACCTTGAACTCCCGAAGCTCTCAAGTGTCGGGATGGCAGGTATACACCTCGCTCACCACATTTCAGGGCTCAAAAACCCACTGAAGAAGAAAAAAGAGTCTTTAAACCCAGTTCTCGGAAAGGCAGAGGCAGGCGGACTTCTGGAGTTCCACGCCAGCCTACATAGAGAGGGATACACACTCAGACTTCGTCTCAAAAACAAAACAAAACAAGAAAAGAGGAGTAACCGGGAGGTGGTGCCAGCACTCGGGAGGCAGAGGCAGGAGGATCTCTGTGAGTTCGAGGCCAGCCTGGTCTACAAAGCGAGTGCCAGGATAGGCTCCAAAGCCACAGAGAAACCCTGTCTCGAAAAACCAAAACATGCATCCTATCAACAGGGCTGAGCTGTGGAGGCCCTGTCCCATCTTCAGCTGTCTGTAGTTGTAATAAAGAATAGGGGTCCAGAGAGACGCCACGAAGCAATGCCTGGTGACAAATTTCCGTCATCTACATACTTGGCCTATCTAGAAGGGACATGATCATCCTTGGCTACAAAGTAAGTTCCAGGCCAACCTGTGCTACGTGAAGTCCTCTCTAGATAAAAATAGGCTGAGGGATCAGGATGGCCCAGGTGTGGGCACACAGAGCAGGAGAGAGACTGGGGAGATATCTTGATAGAGGGGTTGCAGAGAAACCAGGTGCCAGGGAGACTCCTGGGAATCCATAAAGATGACCCCAGCTAAGACTCCTAGCAGTAGTGGAGAGGGTCCCTGAACTGGCCTTCCCCTGTAATCAGACTGGTGATTGTCCCAGTTGTCATCAGAGAGCCTTCATTCAGTACCCGATGGAAGCAGATGCAGAGATCCACAGCCAAGCACTGGGCCGAGCTCCTGGAGTCCAGTTGAAGAGAGGGAGGAGGGCTTGTTTGAGCAAGGGGGCGGGAGTCAAGATCATGAATGAAAAAACAGAAAGACAGCTGAACTGAGCTTTTTGGAGCTCAAGGACCCTGACAGACAGCAAGGAGCTGGCATGGGACTGACCTAGGCCCTCTGCATTGAATGACAGTTGTGTAGCTTGGTATTTTGTGGGGCGCCTAGCGGTGGGACCAGGACCTGACCCTGATGCATGATCTGGTTCTTTGGAACCTATTCCTATGGTAGATGCCTTGTTCAGACTGACAGCGGGAGGGGCTTGGTCCTGCTCGGCTTGAAGTGCCATGCTTTGTTGATTTCCATGGGAGACCTTACCCCATCTAATTGGAGACAGAGGAGGGGTGGATGGGGGTAGTGGGGAGGTGGAGGGAGGGAGCAGGAGACAAGGGAGGGAAACTGTAGTTGGTATGTAAAATTTAAAAAATGATGAAAGAAAAAAAAAAGAGCTGAAGGGGCTGCACGTGTGCACAAATGGACACGCAGGCAAAACACTCATACACGTAAAATAAAAAAAAAATCTCTCTCCTTTTGTTTTCAAGACAGGGTTTCGCCGAGCGTTGGTGGCGCACGCCTTTAACCCCAGCACTCGGGAGGCAGACGCAGGCGGATCTCTGTGAGTTCAAGGCCAGCCTGGTCTACAGAACAAGTGCCAGGATAGGCTCCAAAGGTACACAGAGAAACCCTGTCTCGGAAAAAAAAAAAAAAAAAAAAGCCAGTGTTTCTCTGTGTAGCCCTGGCTGTCCTGGAACTCACAGAGATCATCCTGCCTCTGCTTCCCACATGCTAGGATTAAAGGCCTGCACCACCACTGCCCCAAATAAGTCTCTTTTTTAAATGGGCCTAGAATATTTTTCAGTTTGTGGGGAGCCTCATAGCAGCAAAACACCCTAGGTTCCATCCCCAGCCCAGCATAACGGGGTGAGATCCACCTGGCGTATCACACTGGAATGGGAGGAAGGAACAGGCATCCAAGGTCATCCTCAGCTATGTAGTGTCTTGAGGCCTGCTTGGGCTACATAAAACCCTGTCTCAAAGAAATAAGAGGGTCCGGTTCTGCACAAATAAAAAAAGGATGGGTCCCCAGAGAATCCCTTGCTTCCCTGCGCATTTAGGGCTCAGAAAGGTCCTGACCCCTGAGTCCCAAAATTGCAATAAAAGACTCAGGAGGCAAAGAAAGGTTCAGAGAGGCCACTCCACGTCCTTCACAGGCGCAGAAATGCAGACTTAGGGCTATAATGAAACACAACGCATTCCTGCAAATCTTTGGGCCAAGGTGGGAATCTAGATGGGGGAGCGGCGGACTCAGCCTGGGTGTCCTGTCCCTCCCGTTGGGCCCAGAGGGTCCTCATCGCCTCCATCCCGCAAGAAGCAGAACTGGGGATGCGGCCTGGCCCCGTTTATAGATGCACCGCCAGCTGGCCAGCTGCGGAGGCGCCGCAGAAGGACCAGAATAACTTGTCGCCTGGATGCTCAGCCACCCCCGCAAGGAACCTGTGACGCTCCACTCGCTCCAGGGCCACGGGAGAACCTTGTTTATCTGCTCCTCCACACGCACCAGGGAGCAGGGGACTCTGAGCAACAGATACAAAATGACCATCAATCTGTTATGTGGCCAGCACCCCGCCCTCGCGGAGGCTAGGGTGGGGACCAGGAATGGGTTTGAGAACTGAGGGTGCAGAACAAGCTTGCGGAGCCCCTAGCCATGCTTGGATTTATTCCCAAGGGATAAAGTCTGGAAGGAGCTGAGAGCCGCCCACACTGCCTTTTTTATTTCAAAATAAAACTAGGGGCTGAGGCTCAGTGAGCAGAGGGCTTGCAGCTCAGCTGGTGGAAAGGTGAACACTTTACCATCTGAGCATGTGGTAGGCTGAGGAAGATCCTGAGTTCATCACCATCCTGGACCACAAAGTGAGACTTTGTCTCATAATATATTCAGAATAGCCAGGCATGGTGGCAGAAACTTTTAATCCCAGCAGCACTTGGGAGGCACAGGCAGACAGATCTATCTATAAATTAGAGTTTACATAGTAAGCTCCAGGACAGCCAGGGCAACACAGAGACTCTGTCTCAGAAACTCCGTGTGTGTTAAAAACCTAGGAAAATGGAAGCACAGGGAGAGGGAAACATGAGTATTTGTCGCATCTTTTTTGTTTTTGAGACAGGGTTTCTCTGTGTAACAGCTCCTGGCACTCGCTCTGAAGACCAGGCTGGCCTTGAACTCAGAGATCCGCCTGTCTCTGCCTCCAGAGTGCCACTGCCCAGCTTGTCACATCTTTTAAGTAATAATCATTTGTGGGGGGGGTAGGGTCAGAGGACAGCTTGAAGGAGTTGGTCCTCTCCTTCCACCAAAAGGGCCCTAGGAACTGAACTCAGGTCGTCAGGCTTGGAGGCACGCTCCCAGACTTGCTGTGCAGTCTTGCTGGCCCAATAGTTTATTTTCTTTTTCTTTTTCTTTTTCTTTCTTTCTTTTTTTCTTTTTTCTTTTTTTTTCAAGACAGGGTTTCTCTGGCTTTGGAGGCTGTCCTGGAACTTGCTCTTGTAGACCAGGCTGGTCTAGAACTAACAGAGATCTACCTGCCTCTGCCTCCCGAGTGCTGGGATTAAAGGCGTGAGCCTCCAATGCCCGGTCTAATTTATTTTCTTTATTGTGTAACTTACAAATTCTCCCGCAGTGAACACATATTACTTTGTTTAACAGGAAATCTCTAAAGGTCATCCCTAAAACATCTAGAAAGAAGAAGGAAGCATTCTGAGTATGTTGAGGCCCTACACACTGGCTTGAAAGTTGGATCTTAGCCATGAAGGCTGCAGAACTGTTTGGTACCCCAGTGGACAAATAGCTGGAACCATAATATTTACAGAGGAAGTCTGTAATTTTACCCTGGGCAGCCCTGCCTCTCTGGCTCCTTGGGGTCCCTGGTCAGGTGCTGAGTTACAGGCCAGAGGGAACAGAGGTGGGAAGGGGACAGCTCTATGATGAATGCCTGTCAAGAGAGGGCAAGAAACTCACTTCAGTGTCTTTCTCTGCCACAGTGAAGTGGACATCAGAATAAGCCACAGGAGACCTTGTCTCAAAAAGCCAGAAAATTACAATAAACAGGTAACCAGTCACAAGGTACACAAAGGTCGCCAGAAACCAGGGCCCACTGTCTGCATGGGAGCTTTGAGAAGGCATGAGGATAACTGCTCCTCAGTTTTCCTGCAAGTGAATGGACCTGACAAGTCCTGTTCTAATCTTGTAGCTAAAGCTCTACTAATTTAGAGCCATGCCCCCAGCCCCTCACTGGGGGATTCTAGGCAGGGACTCCACGCCTAAGCCATGGCCCCAGCCTCTTGTGGAGCAGCTCATATAGCACCCCACCCCCTCTTCCTCCTGAATCTGGGACCCACAGCTGAGTATGTTGAGGCCCTACACACTGACTTGAAAGTTGGATCTTATCCATGAAGGCTGCAGAACTGTTTGTTACTCCCTATCTCCAGGTCACTACAGAGAGGACCTCCATGGATCCCACCAGCAGTGTTTAGTGAATGAATGTGTGAGCAGATCATAGGGAGACAGAGGGCTGTGGGGCCTTCTACGAGGGTCATCTGCCTCTTGGTATCTATGAAGAGTTTTGTGCAGCCTCTGGTGTCAGGAGACACTAGACTTCACTGGGGGGGGGTCTCTATTTACAAAGTGCATCCTTCCTGGGAGCCTCAGTAAAGGTCTGTTGAAGACAGGACATGTAGTGCCCTCAAAGACACAGTGACGTTGCGGCTGGGGCCACTCTGCTCACAGAGCATGTGGGAATCTGGTCTCCCATCTTAAGCATCAAAAAGAAACCAAACAAACAAATGAAAAGCACAGAGAGCACACACCCTAACGAGTACAGACTGAAGCAGCAGCATAGAGAGGCGTGAAGGACAGAGCGGCCCAGCACCATTCCAGCCAATCCTGTGGTCAGAGTGGACCCGAGCTGCAGGCTTCCAAGTGGACCCCAAGACTTGTCTACGCACATATCTTGCCTGTCCACTTTGATGGCTGGAAAGAGAAGCTGGCACTACCAGGAATCACTTCACAAGTCACCAGCACCTATAGGTGCCCAAAGGACCTCTCCATGACTTCGTGGTCCATGACAGGCTGGCCCAAAATCTTGTTTTTGGACAGGGCAGACCCTGTAGTCTGGGCTAGTCTCAAAGGACAGGAGCTAAGTGCCAGGTGAGTGTGAGGACTGGACGTTCAGTGTTGAGCCTGTCCTTCATTCTCCTCCTCCTCTGCCTCCTCCAGGGTTAGCTCAAACTGGAACTTGTCAGGGCCAGAGCAGTGTTGACCCATGGTGTGGGAGGGGCTGCAGGGTATCCTACTCTGATACCATTCTCTGTTGTCTTCCAAGGTGTCCAACAGCTCCTGAGCGTCGGGGTGCACCAGGTCAGCCCATGTCTCCCACAGTGGGTGAGCAATGTAGTCAATGAACCCCACCTGAGGGTGACCGAAGGAGGGGGAGCCACATAAGTCAGTGAAGCCAGAATTGATCTAATCTCAGCCTCCCAGTCAGCGGCAAGGCGTCCTATGCCTGGAGTGCCATTTCTCCCTTATCCATCCTTCAAACCCTCTTGAAAGAACTCATCATGGCTCAACAGGCTGAGGCAGGCTGATCTCAAACCAGTGAGTTCTACGCCAGGTTTGTGACAAAGTGAGACTATCTTCAAAACCACAAACTAATAATATGCCTTAGGAGGGGATGGTGGCGCACGCGTTTAATCCCAGCACTCGGGAGGCAGAGGCAGGCGGATCTCTGTGAGTTCAAGACCAGTCTGGTCTACAGAGTGAGTGCCAGGATAGCCAGAGCTACACAGAGAAACCCTGTCTTGAAAAACAAAGAATCCACCCTGTTGTGGAGCACAGGCCCCATCCCTGCAAGGACACTCTGGGGTCATGTTCAGCCAGGGCTCCCCATCTCCTATTCCCCAGCTGGACGAACAACAGCACACACACCTGGGATTTCTCCACAGAGGCAGTGTGCTTGTCACACATGGGGCTGATGTCCAGGCCCGACTCTCGTTCCCTGTCGCCCTGCTGGAAGAACTCAGCCATGATGCGGTTGGTCCACTGGCGGTAGAGCTGCAGGGGCTTGGTGGGGTTGCTGAGGTCTGCACAGTGCACCAGGCTCTGTAGGACCTGTGGAGGTGGGGCAGGGGGGCTCAGGAGGGCCCAGCCACACCCCCATCTCACCACACCTCTGGAAAGCTCAGTGCCCAGGGCACCACATCTTTCAGGTGGGGAAACTGAGGCCTAGGGGGGCGTGGCTAAGGACAGGCATCCCACCAGATAGTTCAAGTGGCAGAAACAGTCATCACCCCACAAATGCAGCCTAACTGAAATGAGGAAGCCGAGCCAGGTGTGATGGTGCATGCCTTCAATCCCAGCACTCCGGAGGCCGATGCAGGAGGATGACAAGTTCCCAGCCAGCCTGGGCTACAGAGTGACAGACTATCTCAGAAAACTAAAGTGGAAATTGAACTCTGGGCCACGCACACACCTGAATGCGGTCGGAGTAGTTGTCCAGGAGCAGGACGCCGAGGCTGGTCACCTTCTTAGTCTCCACCATGGTCTTGAGATCAGCCAGGAGACTCATGTGTTTAGACATGTCTGTGGCCAGCACCTGGGGAGACATGAAGTCTCGGATGCTGTGCTTCTGAGACCTTCTGTGCCTCAGTGTCCCCAGCTGCGAGAGGGAGGACTGAGAGGCTGAGGTATGCAAAGACCCTGGGGCACAGCTGAATATGGGGCGTTATGGCTGGGTTAGAGGGTTAGAGCTGAGGTGGGGGTCCAATCTGACACATGGGGGAGTCACTCTGCATGGGGAGGGGGGCACCCCCTCTGGGGACACTCGCCCCGGGGCTATCAGAACCCATGGACACACGCCCTGGCACAGCTGTTAGCTGAAGCCTCCTGCCTGTGGGCACAAAGTGGAGGCAGGGAAATTATGAATTCCAAAAATACAAATAATAACAAAGGAAAATCTAAAGGGCCCAGGTAAAGCACACAACAGGCACCTAATAAAGCCTGTTGAATCTAATGGTGAAATCTGAGAGCCCGAATCCCCCGACAACCCACAGAGCAGGATAATCAAGTGGGCCAACGGATAGCACCATGCCGGTGGCCACACTGTGTGAAAGAGGCCCCGCCGCACGCTGTGACATCACCATGTCTATAACCATCCTGCGCAGACTCAGTCTCTGCTTGGTGCTGAGGTTCCGGAAGATGTCGCAGTTTTCTGCCTGCAGGAGCTTGAAGCCCACCGCGAGGTGATGATTCTCCAACACCGACACGTCATTGTACATCAGCGCCAGCTCTGAGTCTGTGGGAACAGCCGGGCCTCGAGACCTCCCCCACCCAGAGACAGCTGGGAGGGGACGTCACTGCCCAACTCCTAAGGACACGGTGAAGCCCAAAATCTAATGCCCTTCATGAAGAAAGCCATCCAAGCCCGGGCCCGGCCTGAGTGTGCGCGCAGGACGTCCGTTCGGGATGCCACTTCACTCACTGGTGTTGATGAGGAACTGGTTGGAGACCCCCGGGTGGTCCACGTCGTGGATGGCGCATGCAAAAATAGCCGCCAAGACTTCCAGATCTGTGAACACGGCCTGGGCAGGCCCGGGGCGTCAGGCCTGAGGGTGACCACTCTCGAGACCCCACGCCCACCATTGCCCCCGATGGGCAAGGTACCTCCAGGGCGGGGGTGCCGAGCAACACGTGTGCGGACTGTGCCACGTCCGCAGCATGCACGCTGTTGTGGTACGCCACGTCGGCGTGGTAGTGACCCTCCAGCATCAGCAAGTACGCCAGCAGCGTGTCTGCCGGAATCCGGAATGTCTTGAGCAGGTCCCGCTCCTGAGCATCACAGACCCCCAGTTCAGGGCCTTGGCTTCAACTCACCTCACCCGACTCCTATCCATCCTCCAATGCGCCTTCCCCAGGGTGCTGTTGCCACCCTGAATCCCTTCTATCTTTGTCCCTGCAAGTTCAGGGACCCACTGTTCCAATCCGGGTCTTTTCAAGGCCAGAACAGCCTTGGGCCTTGTCTAAAATAGCTATTAAACGTAATAAAACCAGGCAGGAGCTGGTGGTGCATGCCTTTAATCCCAGCACAGGCAGATCTCTGTGAGTTCGAGACCAGCCTGGTCTACAGAGTGAGTACCTCCAAAGCCATAGAGGACACCCCCAAAGCAAAGGCAGGGAGGCACCTGGAGGACGCTGAACATGATGGCTGTGAGAGGCCGGTTTCCGCTCAGCTGAGCTACTTTGAACACATCAAGTCCCCATTTGTTGGTGTCTTCAAGTTCCTACAAGTGACCAGGCAGCATCAGTGGCCCCACTGACGCTGGCTGCTCTGTGTCCAATGAGGGAAACTGAGGCCTGTAGCTCTGGGGAGACCCACCTTAGCCAGCTGCCCCTCCTGGTCTGTCTGGACCCCAAAGCGGGGGACCGCAGCTGTGGGGAGGCCGGTGGGTCGGGGCCCACGCAGTGCACTGATCTGGGACATGGGCCTTGTGTCCTCTCTGGGCAGCCTGGGAAGCTCCACCTCCGCCTGCTGATCTGCAGGAGACGGGTGGCTCACACTCCAGCCCACTGCTGGTGAGCTTGCCGCTCAGGTGGTAGTTCTGGCTGCATCCCAAGCCCACCTATCCCTCCCACCTATTATTCCTTCTGATACTGGGCCCCCTTGGTCAGCTGCTCATCTGTAAGCTTTGCTGTGTAACTGGACTCACATGGTCCCCAAACTCCTACCCATGCTTCAGAATGCTACCTATCATGTCCTCTCCCAAAATGTCCCTGTTCATCACTGTCCTCCAGTCCTGCTGCTGAGACCCCCCTCTCAGTTTGCCCAGACGGCTCACCCAGGAAGGTCTGTGAGATGTACTCTGACACCTGGTTCCCTGAACGGCTGGTTTCCGACAGATGGGTCAACTCACGGTTGAGCATACGCTTGAACTGTGGGGAAGGGAGGAGGGAGAGCGGGGAGGAGGATGTCAGGGAGGAGGCAGAGCAGGAAGGAGGATGTCAGGGAGGAGGGAGAGCAGGGAGGAGGGAGAGCAGGGAGGAGGGAGAGCAGGGAGGAGGGAGAGCAGGGAGGAGGGAGAGCAGGGAGGAGGGAGAGCAGGGAGGAGGGAGAGCAGGGAGGAGGGAGAGCAGGGAGGAGGGAGAGCAGGGAGGAAGGAGAGCAGGGAGGAGGATGTCAGGGAGGAGGGAGAGCAGGAAGGAGGATGTCAGGGCGGAGGGCCAGCAGGGGCGCTGTGCTGTGTCCTCACCTTGTTGGATGCCATCTCATCCACAGAGCGGCGCGTCTGCAGTGTCTCCAGCTGCTCCAGGCACCAGTCCAGCTCCTCCAGGGTCTCCCGTGCCAGCTGTAGCCCAGCATCTTCTGAAGGCCAGGCGGGTCAGGGCAGGACCCCCAGTGAGGAGCCGGTGCCGTTCCCATCTCCGTACCTCAACCCCTGGAGCCCAAGGCCACAGTTCCACAGCCTTCTGTGAGTGGCTGGGTGACCCAGACAGGCCTGTCTC